TTGTGGGATACAGAAAAAAAGATCTACTCTGAAGCTTATCTGAAACAGTGGTGGGGGAAGGGCAACCTCATCATGACTGCCATTGCTGCTTTCAGCTACAGTCTCCAGGGAAAGACAGGAAAAATTCAATCAGATAAAGATTTTTATCCCAGCTGATGTTTTTACATAAACCAGATGAAGTTGTGAAAGTGGGTGTTGAGCAGATAATTAGAGCTATTCAAATACAGTATAATACCTAGTGCAAATAATCAATTTGAGGGTTTTATTTTTCTCTTTTACGTGGTTTAGGCAAACATTCTATTTTTTTTGTGTGGGCAGATTTTTTTTTCATTGTTTACTAAGGTATAACACACCTTGGTTAAGACAGGAAAAAAAAAAAGACTGCTCTAAGGAGTTTAAAGCATATTTGCAGTGGATGAAGGCAGAGTCTGAAATGATGGCCAGATATAAAACCAACCCACGCATTTGGAAAGCACAGAAAATCCCACCATTAATTCTCTACAAATAAAAACAAAATATCTCCAAATACACACACATTAGGAGATGGTCACTTGATGGATTCTAAAACAGCACTGGAGATGTTTTCAAGTCTCAACAGAATCTTAGAAAAGAATATGATATATTAAGTGGACAAAAGGGGGCTGTAAAATTTTAGTATATAACAACTATGTAAAAAATACACGTGAAAAAATAGTAATGTTACACTGTGTTTTGAGGAAACTTTCAGTGGGAGAAGACTCTCCTTTTTTTGTAATATGACTGCTCTTCATTTTATAGACTGGAAAGATAGAAGAAGTCATTGAAAATAGTCTGAATGAAAAAAATACAATTTTACTATGGGATGATTTGAAGGAGGCTGGGGTGGTTACAAATCTGGGTGGTGGCTTCTGAGAGGTGCAGAGTTGGAGGGTTACAGTATGTGCTAGGGCAGAGAAGAAAAGGGGGACTTGGGGCCAGAGAGCCAAAGGATGTGAACGCTTCACTGTGGATATGGACAGGACTCCTGAAACAGAGGGAAAGGCCTGGAGGCTCTGAAGAAGGCAGGCTGGATCCAAGCTGAGTTTTCAAGAGCAGCTCTAGAGGCTGCAGAAAGGCCTTAGTGTCTCATTCTGAAGTCCTGCTAAATGCAGACACGAGGTGAAAGCAGAACTAGGGCCCTAAAACAGGAATGGCACTTATCAGCTTCCAGGAAAAAGTCATCACATGACTGATCTAATCAAAGGCGGGGTGGGGGGGCTTAGTGTTGGCTCACCACCTGGTCCTGATGGGGAAGGTATCAGGAGTAGTAGTCTATGCTGATTGGTCTATGCTAAAACGCCCAACTACACACAGGTTACACAGAGGGGGTCATTCCAGTGAACTTGGAAAACAAGTTTGGGGCAGAACAACACACACACACACACACACACACACACACACACACACACACACAGAAACCAAGGCTTTTCAATTTGTAGAATTCCCACCATATTAGCAAGAAATCTGAGGAGAGAAACAGGAAAAGCCTTCAAGTAAGAAATGTGACATGAATATTTAAGAAGCAAACATGTTTTGGTCCAGTAGATTTCATCTGACTGGCCATACAGATGTTGCACCAATAAGTAGTTTTTCTCTTTCTCTGTGCTGACTGTTCTCTTCACTGCACACATGCTGGAACACTGCAAAATCTCCTAAAACAACCGACTTGATTGTACAAGGAAAACACTATTTCTTTGGTCTTTAAAATTTTCATCAGGTAACCCAACAACAGAAAACAATCTAAATACCCAAGAGTCTCTAATACTCTCAATGTATGAGCACATTTATACATCAATTATGTAATGACGATTATCGGGCCACATAGGAGGTACCAGCGAATTTCATTTTTTAAAATATTATCAAGAAGTAAATATAACTTTGGTCATTTTCTTCTTATATTCAAAGGAACAGTCTTTCCCTTCAGAGCACTAGAGTAGCCACATTTATCCAAACATCCGAGGTGGACATAGCTCCTGTCATAGGGAAGAGAGGGACTTTCTGGCAAGGAAGCCTCCAAATTCACTGTGGGCAGGCTCTGGATGGGAGGGTGCAGGACATACTGTTTTCTGTTGCAAATTCTCCAGCCTACATACATCTATCTCAACATGATAAATGAAGCCTCAAACTGCTTCATTTCCCTACTCATTTCCATATTTCCTCCATTCAAGACAGCCTCATCCATGAGAAAGTTTTCCATCAACCTGTCCCATGACGGATTTAGAACCACTGGTGAGGACTTGCTTCACATCGCATTAAGATCCTCAAAATGCTCATTTTCTAATTCTTCATTCCTTTTGCATTTATTATCTCTGATTTCTCCATGATTAACAACTTTCTCTCATCAACCATTTGATTATTTCAAATATAATTTGTGCTTGAAAGGCAGGAAGATCAAAGCTAGATTTTTTTCCTCTTTATTTTTTTTTAGAATGAGTTGGTGTCCTAGCAACTTGTAAAGGTGACCAAGTACATTTTGTGGGGTTTTCTTGCTTGGTGCATCATTTTGGTCTCAACCTTTTTTTTTTTCATTTGTTTGATTTTAATCTACTGAAATCAGTGTTCTTTTCACGCTCATACACCCTAACTTTGGGGTCCTATGTCCTCTGGATTCCACCCCAGCAGTCGTTCTTCGCTTCCTTTCCTTTCCTTGTGGAATGATAAGATGTCCCATCTTGAATATTTCTTGCAATCCGCTCTTGATCCTAGGAGGAGGTTCCTTTTAGCGAGAAAAGGTATTCAGGGAACCCCAATATGAGTGCTAAGGAATCATTGCTATACATCGGGCTGCCTGTACTTTTCATCCTTTTCGAAGCAGAGCTAGGAAACTCTTTAAAGAAAACAAGAGTATATGTTGGCATTTCCTATTCAAACTGAATATAACAGTCATTACTCCAGTTCTTCCTTTATCATATACTGAAAATCTTGGTTCCCACACTATAACAATTTCAAATAACAATATAAATATTTTCTACTATGATGTATAGGCAAATCATAGTGCCTATGGTGTTTGTTGATGTTTTGCTATAAAGTTCCTTTTCTTTTTTTTTAGGAAGGCAGTCAAACGTGGAAAATTTCCCCGACTCCTGGTGAATTCTGTGTCATAGTTAGGAAATTTATTTCTCTTCCCAGGTTAATAGAAATAACTCTGCAATTCCAGCTTTAGTTATATAGTTTTTCCAGGTACTGGGGATGGAACCTAGGGCCTCACATATGCTAGGCAAGTACACTATGACTGAGCCACATTCCCATCCTTCTTATATTTATTTTGAGATAAGGCACCGCTAACTAACTTGCCCAGGCTGGTCTCCAACATGTGATTCTCCTGCCTCAGCCCCTTGAATAGGTGGGATTACATTTCAGTAACATTTTAAACAGTGAACTTCTTTCAATTCAATCACCAGTACTGTGGAACACAAAATAGGTTTGCAGGGCACTAAATCCCACCATTCTGAAAGACTACACTTTTTGGAACACCTCTCCTCTCTTAGCCTGGACAAAAGAAAACACCATATTTTGGAGGGCGCATGCCTACCACACCCTCCAAGTAGCTTAGGCTATTTTGGACAGAGGTAACATTTTATGTCACTTGGCATAACACACAGTTCACGTCTTAGTTTGTGTGGTGTCACCTCATCCCAGCTTTTCAATTTTCACGGCAAAGACAAACCACAGGCTTAACTCTAATCATGCCTGACCATGCCGACAACCACCTGTCACCTAAGATAACAAATATTAGTTGTTCCCTGAACTATGTGCTAGGGACAGGTTGCAATAAAAGGATAATATAGCTCCAGGGGCAATAATAATGTTGACAAGGCATACAGCACACCCTTACCAACTTCTCTTGGCTAAAATAACATTTAAATGTAAGTTGATTTTAGAAACCACTCCTCTCATCAGCTGTAACCCTTCTTAATTTTCCCTTCTTTGAACTAACACCCAAGCATTAATTCAGGGTGCTCAGTGTTACATTTAGTGGGCCCAAACAAAGGGTCATTTTTGAGTGGCTGTATACAAGGGACAGGGCAGTTGCATGGGGAAAAGGCAGGGCAGGCTCTCTCAGGTCTTCACTAAGCAGACAGATTGACATCTCTGAAATGGTTTCTAGAACGGAAACCTCTGGGTTAAACTTATGCTGGTAATTTTAGAGTACAGGAATTATCTACTCTGAGCATTCAGACTTACTGTTTAACTCACATAGCTATTTATTTTCAGAAAAGAACTTCACTTTGTTACTATGGTGTACTGACTTAAATATTTATTTTTGCCACCAATGCTATCAAATTTGGTACTTGGCTTCACAGTCATCAACTAATTAGAAATAACTGAAGCAGGAAAATGGAAAGCAACAGTAAGAAACCTGGTGAGGACTGGAAAAGAATGGCCCAGAAACAGAAAATTCTAGAAGTCTTAACAGTGGGGCCAGGCCTTCAGCGTATACTTCAGAGTATGCACTCTTCTCCCACCTAAAATAATCACTGCTAATGATCACAATGCTATCAGGTCATCAGGAGAGGGGAGAATCTCATTCTGAGTCCAGTGTTCAGGGAGTCAGTCAATTATAACACTGAGTTTTAAAAGGTGCATTTAGAAAGGGCTAGATTTTTTTCTCTGAAGTTTGGCACTTAATTCATTAAGATATAGTTACGCAGACATCATTTTTCATTAAAAACGAAGTGGACCCTCGGCAGCGTCAGTGTAGCACGAGGCGTACTTAGGCTGTGCCAATTCAAAGGTAGCCCAGTTCTTTTCTAAAGGCAATTTGTGGTCAACATCCTTCTCCACAACATTTCCAAGGCTTCTCACAAAATGCTCACAGGGGTTTTTCAACTCCAATTAAAAGAAAAATTCACTTATTCCCAAGGAAAAGGTTCACAAAGAGCACAAACTTCTACACCTAAGGGTCTTGATAATAATAACCCTAAATAGATGGTTGCCTTTGGTGGCATTCTGGAAAGCAGAGGAGAAACATAAATACTCACGGAACATGGTATAAAACTGCTGAGGGTTCAGATTCCATTTTCCCCAGGGGGTCTTGTGGCCTTTGGACTGGGCATAATTTGCATGATTAAACTCTGGCTCAGTACCAAATGAATCCAGGACTCGGAGCATGCACCTGAAAGAAAAAGTGATGTGTATAAAGCTACAACCTTGACCTCAATGTCCAAAAAGAAAAAAGCTCTAGCCTCTTCTTCAAGGACTACCAAAAATAGACAAATATTTTAAATTACAAATGGTACCAGGTGGTGAACCTATGGAACATGGGCTGCAGTGGGCTTGTCTGCATGATTGAAAGCTCTGTAAGGTTCGTTACTACTGTTTTAGAATAACTTATACCAAATATCTACATTTGTGATTTGAGAAACAAAGCCATCACAGAGTAGACAGGATTTGCTTCAGATGGCCTGACTAATAACATAGAGGACTGTTGAGTATCAGTAAAATGAAAAGTTCCCTCAAAGCTGTAGCTGGGGACTGCAATATTTACTGCTGTACACCCAGCACCCAGCCAAGGCCAAGCATACAGCAGTTATTAAAGAAACAGAGTTACTACCTCTACAGGTCTCAATTTGCCTAAAGCACAGGCCATGGGTTATCTCTCCCAGGATAAATGTTTTAACATTTATATTGGCTAGCTGGACTATTTGATTTTAGATAAAAGTTATGCTATTGTGACGAATCCCCCTGAAAGTCCATGTGTCAGAAACTTAATCCTCAAATTCATATGTTGATGGTAGTCTGAGGTGGGGTCTTTGAGAGGTACTTAGGGTTAGAGGGTTTGAGGATGGAGTGCCCAGGATGGCATTAATGGATTCATAAGAAAGGGGGGAGACACAGGAGCTTGTGCCAACTGGCTCTTGGTCTCTCACCTTGCCATGCCTTTCCCTAGAATACGGCACAGCAAGATGGTCCTCATCAGATGTGGCCCTCCACCTGGGACTTTCCAGCCTTTGGAGTGGTGAGAAATTAATATCTTTTCATCATAAGTTACCCAGGCACTGTTGTGGCCACACAAGGTGGGCTATGCTTATAATCTTACTCAACAGGTGTGATTTTTTTTTATGTACCTATTAACAATAGAACTTGCTGTTTTTTTCTAGAGCCTGATGGAACACAACTGAAGATGTTTCATTTGCCTGTGCTACCAAGGCCAAAGATGGCCTAAAACCTACTTTTGTGTGGCTATGGGCTAAGGATGGTCTTTAGATTCTTAAAAAGCAGGAAAATCCTCTCTGACATGTGAAAATTATATGAATTTCATATTTATGCATTTAAAAATAAAGTTTTATATGAATGCAACATCATCTTACTCCCATATTTGTCTGTCACTGCCTTTATGCTATAGAACAGAGCTGAGAATGTATGTATGGATGTATTACAAAGTCTCAAATATTGACCAGCAGACCCTTGACAGATGTCTTCTGACCACAGATTTAGAGGGCAGAAAGAATCACCAACTGGAATGAGTTAATACCGAAACAAAATTTATTGATTTTGGTTACACTGACTTCATCACCAATTCTCAAAACATTCATGCAAATTAAGTTCCTGAATGCCTAATAAAAACATCTATTTTCTGTTGTTTCTTATCAATAATACTTCTGAATAACTTTGACTGAACCAATAAGCATAACAGTTAATAAAGATTAAAGCACACATTTTAGAATCAGATGAAGGCATTAACTTTTGAGGATGTGACTCAGTTTCTTCTTCCATATCCCACTACTATTATTAGAAAAAGTTTCAATTTTAAAATTTTCACTTCACTGTAAGTGTCTGAAACAAAAAAAAACAACAAAATCCAAATACTACAGTGGATATTCTAGGAAGCACAACTGTTAATTACTATTTTTGCGTGTTGATTTTCTTACCGCCATTTGTTTACACAAGGACAAAGAAAGAGTATGAGGGAAGGCTATGACCACAGAATGAAATAAAAGCTGACCACAGAAATAATTCCCTTGTTTATGTGGCTTTCATTAAACATGCTCTCATCAAAATGGCAATTTTCTTAAGACAGAGTCACTATGTTGCTCAAGTTGATCTTGAATTCGTGGGCTCCCACAATCCTTTTGCTGCAATCTGTTGAGCAGCTAGGACTATGGGTGCATACCACCATGCCTGGATTGGCAATTACAGCACATTATCAACAAGGATGGTGACTTCAGTTCGGCAACCAGCAGGGGCAACCAGCAGGGAGACAGAAACAGGTCCCCAGAGCTCCAGAAAAAGAAGTCACAGTCTATATTCTTCTCTAAGTTAGTTTGGTGACTATATTTGTAACTTTGACTTTTATTATTGCTATTATTCACTTGGATAATTAAAGCAAATCCCGGTTAGCAAGAAAAAAAATGTTCAAATGAGAAGGGGAATGAGGGAGGGGAAAGGGGGAAAGGAAAAAAGACAAGAAAAAAGGAATAGAAAGAAAAAATGGAAACGCTTTTGTAAATAAGGAGGGGAAGAGGGGTGGGAGGGGAGAATGGAAAAAAAAGAAGCAAAATATATCGTGTACAGGTACAAATTCCCTATGAGGAATATTATTATTATGTGCATCTAAAATGTACCAATAAATGTTTCGCTTCAAAAAAAAAATGTTGCCTGGTAAAAGCCTACCCCCTGGAGGCCTGGGGTTCTCTTGAGTCAAGATGTAAGCTACATCTGGTTTCTTGGCAACAAGACTACAATGATCAGATGTCTCCAAGAAACTTACAGTTCAACATCCTTTTACTTGAGGCTTTGGCTGAAGCATTGTTTATTTTCTAGCTTATACAGGTTTGTTTTATAAACTAGCAGCAGAGGACTGACCTTTATCTTATGATATGGGAGATTTAAAATTGTAGTTTTCATTCTTTGATCACTCTTTACATATGTTTTGGAATTGTGTTTGTGTTAATCTTTATGTTATCTCTCTAATGCTTTGGTATGTCTGGGGCATCAGGAACATACTAATGACTTAAAAAAGATACTTGCTTAGATTCTCAAGGTAGCTTGCCTTCTGCTAATAGGAACCTCAGCAATACCTCAATGACTCCTGCAAAACTCTTTTTACTCTCAGCTATAATACTTTAAGATGGATGCTCCTTGGAGCTTTCTGTTTTGCTGGAGTTTGATGTAAAATGTGGCATGACTTGGACTATATGCATCTTAATCCTTATATCTCCTTAATGCTCATCAAAAGACCTCAGATGAAACAGAAGAGGGTAAGTTTCATAGCTCCTAGCAGAATTAGTTGCATCTATGTAGTTATTTAATAAATGTTTGAATTTCCTAGATCCTCATGTAAATTGAACAAAATTTACAAATATTTTCCCCAAATCAACAGGCGTAAAGGGCTTGCTCCCAATTGAGAGATCAGATGAAAACATACATGTAATTCACAGTACCTACCATCAACCAAGAGGAAGACAGACAGCTCTTACAACTTCTAATTGTAAAAGGAGAAAGCAATGGGTAAGAAACTTTCTAGAGGACCTGCTTGGCATTTTGATGGACTCAGCTCAATCATACCAAAGACTGAAGGGCTAAAGCACTAACAGATCCCCTGCCTGTCATTGCTAATGCAGTCCAGTCACCAAAAGGGGCAGATTAACATTTCACTTTTCATAAAATCCCTCTGAGATGGTGCCTTTCCATACAACTCGAGTCAAATACCAATGTACAGTGACCTATTTATTTATTTATTTTGGTACCGGGGATCGAACTTGGATCCTTGCGCTTGCACAGCAGGCGGCGAAACCACTGAGCTAAATCCCTGGCCCAAGTGACCATTTTAATAACAACATTGCCTCTCTTAATTGACCTAAACTCTACTGCTGAGAATATTTTTCCATCCAGACAGCCCTTCTTAATGTTAAAGACATGAGTCTAGAGAGGTCTGAACTGCCCAGTTTTCTTTGAACATTTTCCAGGTGTCTGCCATTCACAAAATGCTAGAAAACAACAGCCCTGCCTTTAAGGCTACAGCAAAGCAAAACAAAACAAAACAATTGCCTTTACTACATAACTTAGAAGAAAGATGGTCCTTTCTACATAACTGAGAACAAATGTGATAGTGTGAGGTTCATACAGACTTCAAGGAAAAAAAAGAACACAAGTAACAGGAGAAACGCTATAAAATGCAGAGTGCTATACTGGCCCAAACCAAGATTATATTTTTCTTTCTTTTTTTTTTTGGTACTGGGGATCGAACTCAGGTCCTTGCTCTTTCGAGGCAGGGGGCGGAACCACTGAGCTAAATCCCTGGCCCTTTTCTTTTTTTAAAAAAATGAAACTATATTACAAAAACGAAAAGAACAAGAGACTATTCCATCAATAGTCTCTATTCCATTTATCTCTTTCTTATGACTATTTATTGTTCAATGAGAAAAATCAATGTTGCTGGGGAAAAAACCCTGTACAACGAAAGGGAATTTTACAGATAATGGATATCTCTCTCTTCCGTGCATTTGAGAAGATTTTTAGTATTCTCAGTTTTAACTTCTGTCTGATTTTTTTTGTTTTTTGTTTTTGGTACCGCAGATCAAACTCAGGGACCTTGCATTTGTGAGGCAGGCACGGTGCCACTGAGCTAAATCCCTGGCCTGTTTCTGTCTGAATTTTGAAGGAGTTCAACCTGATATAACCTTGGGAAAATCAGGTTACTAATATTAAACTTAACTAACCTGCAAAGGAGACAGAGGTCAGACCATTCAAATTCATTTACTGGTTAAGTTAGAAGACCCGTCAAAATATCACCTTACCCAAGAGCAACAGAAAAGAAACACATAGCAAGAGTTCCAAGTTATACTTACTGAGATTTTTCAGATGCTTCTTCTCTTAGGAAGTGGGTTAGAACTGGAGATCAGTATTTACTACCCCTGGTACAGTGCTTCCCTAGCCTTCAAAATTTTTACCCACATTCATCAAATATTGATACTATTAAACAAAAGATGATCTTTGTTTAAATTTAGTTATCTTTTAAAAATTATATTTAAGAGCCAGGCATGTGGCATGGACCTGTAATCCCAGCACTTGGGAGGCTGAAGCGGGAGGATTGCCACAAGTTCAAGGCCAGCCCGGGTCACATATTGAATTCAAGGCCAGCCTGAACTACAAAGGGAGACCTTGTCTTAAAAAACAAACAAAACAAAACAAAATTTTATAGTAATCTTTTATAGACCATAAATAAAAGCCAGTGTCAATGGTAATAAACAGAAGATAACTAAAAATAAAGCCTCCTTTAAAAAGTATTAAATTCAAACTAGGTGCTTGTGCTTGAAGGTTGGTATATGCAACCACTGTCACTCTGTGAAAAGCACATGCAGGTGTCAAAACAAGTGCTAGAGATACAGTAACATCAAACTATGCCTTCTTAGAAAGGTTAAAAAGATTGAAAAAAAACCTTATTATACAGTTTAAGTCATTTAGTGCCATGTTTGTGAACCACTAGATTGTTGCAAATACTGGATCATGGTCTCAAAGTCATACCTAGGAAACACTGGGCTCTTCTATAAATAATAAACACTGCACAGAGCACCAGGGATCACAGTCACATGGAGCACAGATTTATCTTAAAAAGGAAAAGACCTCAGCCTTCACACAAGGTGCCCCAGCTTTCCCTCCTGAGAATGACAAGAACACCGATGAGGGGGAAGGGAAAAGAGACATGAGTCATCATCTCAAATCGAAGGACTGCAAAAAGAAACAGTCTGCATATTTTATCAAAATCCTTCTTTGACTAAACAGATGAGGCCAGTTTAGGCATACTGAAAGAGGAATCTAAAGTATTAAGGAGGCTGGACACTTGTTTTCTCAAGACATCAGTGAAAATAATGAATAACTCTAGAAGTAGAAAGTCACTGTCCAAAATCTGAATTTCAATTAGGAATGAGAAACATATGCCACACTCTTCAAAAAATAACATTTAATCATCTTTTCTTATTCTTGTTTGGGGGAGGGACTTAAAAAATAAGAACAGTATGTAGTACTTACTGGTAATGAACCCAAGAGGGTCCCAGAGTTTTCTTGAACTGAGCAAGTCCCACAATATCAATATAAATGAGCTCGACGATTCTGTCTCCTATAGTTGGGCAGCCAGACCGGTTTCCTACAACCTTCTTCATAATTCTAGAAAAAGGGTAGAGAAGAGGGAAAAAAGAAATCACTTACTTTGAGGTACTAAACTTGGCACATTAAACAGGCAAATAACCACTTCAAAAATTTTTAATAGAGATGACAGTATGGCCCTTCCAAGTCCAATACCTGTCTCAATTCTTCTGACCTGTCAAGTCCAACCTAGACCCCTGATTCTTATCCTGAAAAAGCAAATATCACTGTGAACACAGCATCTGAAATCAAGGAAAACATGAGTCTGAATCCATCTTCATTGTATAGCAGTTATGAGACCTTCGAGAAGGTACTTAGCCTGAATCTCTTTCCTTATCCCCCAGAAAAAAAAGGATAGAATATGAAGATGATATTCTACCTCCTATTTCTTATCTAACCTCTCCATTCTCTAAATTTCTTCAATTTTTAGGCTCTACAGTACTGATTACTTTTTATACAGTCTAGCCCTGTTCACTAATTTTTTCTGTTATGTCAAACATTCTTTTAACTAGACTGCATTATAGAATCAGCATTATGGATTATACTTTTTCATTAAATTTTCTTTCACCCACGTACTCACCCTTCTACCTAGACATATAAAGCCACCTCTACAGTCAGGAAATGACAATGGACTTGAGTCATATGTCAACTTAACGGGCATAAAGAAATACTAAGCATCTACCATTTGCTCAAAAATAGTCAACACTATTGATTCTTAGCACTGTTCACACCCCACGATAATTCTGCACCACTCTGTGAAAATCCAAAGGACAAAAATCTCAATAGGACTCTGCTCTAGAATCTCGTTCCCCTATTGCTGTTGGCACCCTTCTCCCTCTTCTCTGGGTTTCTGACAAGGGTAGGTTCCATAGAACCAATTTCTTCCTAAGGGTTGGAAAACTTTCTGTAAGAGCTGGAAAATAAATACTTTTATCTCTGCAGGCCATACAACTCTGGCACTGTAGGACGGAGGTGACCATAAACAATACATAACAATGGAGACAGAGGTACACCCCTGAAACTTTACAAAAACAGAGGAGACAGGGCGAGACAGTTTGTGGACCTCTGGTCCACCTTGTGTTCAGTGGTTCTCAAACTTGTTTGGATGCTGGATTTATTTGGATGCATCATAAAATTCTTATGGCTGTGTTCTATTTCCAGAGGCTGTGCTTTAACTGGCTTGGGAATAGTCTATGAGCACTTTAAGGAGATCCCCACAACCTAAAAAAAAAAAGAGAAAGATCCCAAGTGATGCTAATTGCAGGTAACATAGAACCACTGTTCTTTCTCTTCCTAAAGAAAACACATCTAGCCCTAACCTTGATGTGCATAAAGACCAATACCACCTCAGACTTTTCTGTGATCATGGGGTAAGTCTCTGCCTGGTACATTTCTTCTTTTCTTTTCTCTTTTCTTTCTTTCTTTTCTTTTTTTTTTTTTTTTTGTACCTGGGATCAAACTTATGACCTTGCACTTGCGAGGCAGATATGGTGCCACTGAGCTAAATCCCTGGACCCTGCCTGGTACATTTCTAATAGCCGTCTGGTTCCCCAGGCAATTCTTGTCCTTAGTACTTGCATAATATTATATGTGTTCATCTATCCACTCACTCACTCACTCACTTCTTCCTTTACTCATTGGTTCAGTATCTGTATGAACACCTACAGCGTGTTAGGCACTAAGAGCTAAGTACACAAGGGTGAATAATACTGTTTTCTGTACTTCTTATACTTACAATCCAGCATGCATATCTCCATTAGTATTAAGAGATTTGTAATTAGTGCAATTATTATTTAATGTAGTTGAAATTATGAAATTATTGGCAGCTCCTTAACTACAAGCTAGTCAACTCTGTGGATTTCACACCAAAAGCCAGCCCACAGAAGGCAATGAGTGAGTAACGGAGAAGTGTATGAAGGCATCCACTTTATGGGCTATGGACCCAACATATATTAGAGCAAGCAGGAAGAAGGCAATAGGACACAGCCTTTGCAAGGAATAGGAGTGAGCATTAAGGATGAAAAGATCTCTAGTTAGTCTACTTCTGAAAGGGCCAACACAGACTGGAGGTGAGAATATAGGCTATGAATTCAGACAGACATTGGGATCAAATCACCATGATCCCTAAGTCTGCAGACAAATCACTTTGGTTTGAACCTCAGTTTCCTTATTTTTAAAATGCAGACCGATTTCTAGGTGCTAAAGACCAGTAAGAGGTCCACAAAGGTGAGTTGTGAATAGTCATCATCAACACGAGAGTTGTCATAATTGGTGATGATACCATTGTAACTTTAACTTTTGAGGACATTATTTTATTTTATTTTTTGGGGTACCAGGGATCGAACTTGGGTCCTTGTGCTTGTGCAGCAGGCAGCGAAACCACTGAGCTAAATCCCCAGCCCTTCTGAGGAAATTATTAACAAATAATAGCTGATGTATTACCAAACTTACTGCTTTTATCCCAATATATACTGCCACCAACCAGGCATGGACCTTGGACCTAACACAAGTGACCTCACTGAGCACCAATGCCTTGTGATGGACCATCTATTTGCTTTAGCTCCTATCCTATCTCTTGCATATTCATTCACAGTATTTCTCCTGGAAATACTTGACACTGCACCACATTATTTAGCTGCTGGGTAGGACATCTCTAAGGGCAGTCACTCAGGAGTGAGGGGGATCTAAGTGTCCCTGCTTGGCCAGCTGTGTAAATGGAAAAGGGACTGCGAGACTGTTAAAGCTAGATGCAAATTTCAGTGAAAAACAAGTTTAAGGAAGAGTTAACAGATTGAGCTGAAAGTTGGCTAATTGAAAAAGGACTGGATCAGGGCTTTCAGGAAATTCATTGTATCCAAATTAAATTATAAACAGGAACCTGCCCTGTAGTAAGATTTAGAATGCCTGATGTTGAGCAGGGAACACTATGAATTTCAGTAAGAGACAGGGAATTAGAAAAGTCAATAATGTTTTGTGCTGCAGATGTTGGAAGCACCTGTAATAGCAAAGAATAAGCTTCTTAGTTTGAATTTTCTGGCATTCTTTCATGAAGCCTTGGGAGCCTGCAGCTACAATGAAAACATATTATCCTTTTCCCAGTGTATGTATTTAGCTCCTGAAAATAATCTTCTTATCTCCTGTTTAGTGAATTATCACTTTCATTTTCCTCTGCAAGAAATTACACACTAATAGAGGACTTTTAAGAGTTTACAATTTCTTTTTTGTATTCTGATTTAGAAATTGAAAAGTAATCTCCTTACTCCTTGAGCTCCGCCAGTGAAGCTGAAATCCTAATGTCATGGCCCAGTAAGTACAGAGATGTAATTAAATCACTCCACTGAACTAATTCACCAAGAGGGCCACCACTGAATGCAGTCTCTGCGATCTTAAATCCAGATTCCTTGGTCAGGAGTCCCAGGTGAACAAGGACCTGGAAAACAAAACAGGCATGTATTCATTTGCACTGAACCAAATACAAAGCCCACAGTAACACACCGCAAAGCGATCAATTCTAACATCACGCTTATGTCGAAATGAAATCTCAATGTGGGGTATGCCATTTTTCTAGAAGGTGCAAAGACCGGAAAGAAATAATTTTTCATGTTTTAGAAAAAGAAAATCATTATTTCCCTTAACGTGGCTATGTGTGTACAATATGGATGCATTATCCTGGTTTTTGAAAATGGGGTATATTTGTAAGAACCGAATGAAAGGAAAGTAAGCTACGATATTAGAGTATCTTTTAACAATATTTAGTGTTTTCCATAGCTGAAATATTTTAATCTTTTCCCATGAAAATTTTCCAACACAGAGAAAAGCAAATTAGACAATACAGTCAGCTCCAACAGACTTACTACATAGCTTTGACAACTATTAATTCATGACAAATCTTATTTAATCTATATTCCCTTTTCTCCTGACCCCCTAGAGTACTTTGAAGCAAAGTTGAGAGGTATCTTTCCATCTGTAAATATTTCAAAATGCATCTGTAAACAAAATAGACTTTCACTTAAAAAACACAGCCATATCCCTGTCACCTATAAAAAAGCTGTAATTCCTTAATGTCACCTAGAATATAGTTAATGTTTATATTTCCTCAGCCCCCCCTTCTATAAGTACAGCTGTGTGATTCAGAAGTTAAAGTGTACTGATAATTATAACTGCCTCATCTGTCTCTTAGCCGCCTTTCATCTCTATAATGCCTTATTACTCTTTCTTTGAGGGGATTGTCTATAATTTATTCATTAAAGAAACTGGTTATATTTCCAACAAAGTCCTCTACACTTTGAATTTTGCTGATTCCAAATCCAAGGTGTTGCAAAAACAGATCTCATTCTGTCCTTCATACGTGTGGTAAATTAGTAATGAAAGCTTAAGGTATGACCAAATTCACACTCAATTTTTTACTTCATAAGTGCTATGAACTTTCACTGGTGGGAAAAATATCTAGGTGTCCCTGTTTTGGGAGATTAAGAGCCACTGCTAATCAGTAACTAAACTCCTTAGCCTTTTGGGGGCTGCAAAGTACTGATATTCTATCATTAATTTTTCATCTATTAGCTACAATACATCCGCGAAGAGAAACTTCTCTATTTGGTCACCCTAAAGTATAGTTTGCATAGAACAAGCCTAGTGACTACTTGATTTTTTTTCCATTTGTTTTCCAGTTTTTAAGATAACAAGTGTTTTTTAAAGCATATTCTAATTATGATTCCTGTTTTGTTTTTTAAGTATTATAAAATCAAGTATATAAGCACATTTAATGTGGTTCAATCAATTGTGATTATTACTCTATCAAACTGTTCCACCTTGGCCGGTGGGAAGCTATTGAAGTTGACCCCTCAATTCCTTGGACATTTCCTAGCAGCCTTTGATAGCTTCTCTGCCCTTAGGTATGACAAAATGTTCTAAGCTTGCTATGCACAATTTCTGCCTTCTTAATGCACCATTTTTCCAAGAATCTCTTATACTACTTGGTGGAAATAGCATTTAGAGATCAAAGTCTAGGGCTTAAGGGACCCTAGTTAATCACTATTTGAAGGCCCTTTCAGTGGCACTAGCTAGGAAATGTGTTTTTCCTCTAAGATACAATAAATTTTGAGTTCTTACCAGTCCTTCAAATTCAAACTCGGGACTGTAATATTTTTATATAACACTATTCATTTTACATCTGTTATTTCCTCTCTCCCACAATGAAAATCCCACTTCTCAAAGACACTAACATAATTACTCATTTGTGGTTATCCAATTATTCACATTGAATTCAGAATGAGAACATTGATACTTCCACATACAACATGATTTGTAAAAATTGTTTTAAAATATTTTGCAGCTTTTTGTCCTCTGTGAAATCCCATCAGAATTGGGTTCTACAGGCATTAAGAATAGTCCTCTTGGTGTGCTTGTATCAAAACTGGATGGATACGTAGTCAATTCTTTGTTCTTATTTTCCTTATGGCTTTTATCATAATTAAATGTTCACACTTAATGTAAAATGGTTCCAGCATCAAATCTACAAAGATAAATTCAGAGAGGTCTAGTTTCCATACCTGTTAATGCTACACTATTCCCTCCTTCCTTTTTTTCTTCTTGCACTAAGATATGCATAACATAAAATCTACCCTTTTAACATATGCAGTTTAGTAACATTAAGAACATTTACATTGTTGTGCAATTATCACCACCATCAATCTCCTTTATTTTAAAATTTTTTTTGGTTTTATCTTTCAAAACGCGTGCAATAAACATGCATGTTACGTGTTTGTGTATGTATGCAGGCAGGTAAAAATTCCCCCCTCCTTTTAAAAATAATGTGTGCTAGTCTCCACTTAACTGTTTTTTACCTGACAATATATCCTGTAGATGACTCCTTAAAATTATGGAGAAATACAGTGGACCCTTGACTTACAAACTCAATCAGTTCCTGAGGGTGGGTTGTAACCCAAGTTGGTTGTAAGTCAATTAAGTTGGTTGTGAGATCTGGATGTTTACCTGAGTACACACTATAGATAACAAGAAACAGATGACTCTTCCATTATCCTAATTAACCCAAGTTACTTGTATGTCAGGCCGGTTGTAACTTCAGGGTCCACTGTATTCTTTCATTGTACAGCCCACTTACAGAATCTCATCACACGTCCTTCACAAACTATTTATTTAGTGCCAAACTGTCTGGTCTTGGTGTCTCAAACTCAAGGAATCTAAGCAAAACTGACCCATCAAACTTTGTCTTAGGGTCTTACAAAATGTATCTATACTTTCCTTTTCAAAGACATCAAATGAGTCAGATTCATTCTGAAATTCCCTTTAGATGTGGTAACAAGTTGTTTACTTTGCTCAGTTCTGAAATCAGAACGGTTAATCCACAGCCATGTTACTTAATCTATAACTAACAAGGTAGAAGATTTTCTAAGCCAGGAGCATTCCACAGGGTTTCTAGGCATGACCCATGAATTTAAACAACATGGCCCAAGTTTAATAAAATCTCCTTTCTAGATATATAAGCAGAAGCACCAATTAGACAGAGGAGCAATGGAACTCACAGGTAGTCCAAACAACGAACAGGTGAAACTGTCATGATGATATAATAGAAAGTTCTCAAAGGCTGGGTTCAGGTAAAGAAGTGGGAAAAGTTTCCTAACATGCTCAGACTGACAGGTGGCTGAAAGGAAAACCTGACAGGCAGATATTCAGCTTAACTTCATCTAAGAAATTTGGACTGATCTCTGCTAAATGAAAGTACTGTGGATAATAAAAAACAAAAAAGGGCTGTACAAGAGGCTGGGCTGATTCACTCTGAGGGAATATCGTGTGAGACATGACATTTCTCTTACTCTTGTTTCTAAGCAAAATCAAATTTTAAAAGAAAACTGGCATCTAACTGAAATGAATTAAGAAGAAACTCACTTTCTTCCGCTTTCTCTTTTCAAGATTTTGCTTTTCTGCCAAGGACTTGATTGCTTGAATCCAAGCATCAGCCATTCGCCGGATCCGAAGTCTCATCCACCGGAATTCTTCATGCTTTTTCATCATACTGTAGAGAATATTAAAATCCATACGAATTTCTGCCTAGAAACAGAAATTTAATAAAATGTATAGAAGATAAAAGCCAAAAAGCCTAATGGTTTTCATGATGTGACATTTGAAAACTTGAAAGTGAAAGTCAATTAAATCCAGGGCTTCAAAAATGAGTCTTGCCATGCTGCCCGGCTTTTATTAGTAGGTCCCAGGATTGCAAATTAATGCAAGGGTCCCTGCATGCTGATCTGTTATAAGGGATATCATTAAAAAATGAGAAATTGAGAAAGGCAGTACAGTCACTGCAAAGCCCTGAGCTATGTTAAAACACAGACTTTACAACAAGTATGCGTGATGTACCTTGAAATTCTGTTCTGAAATTTATTGTGCTGCTCGAATCGACTGCTAGGTAGCAGACCCCCAGGAAAACTGAAGTCAGATCTAAATATATTACCCAACATCATGTTGGTTGCCTATGAACCTTTTCCTGTGCACAGAATTAAATGGGGAAATAAATGCTCATCTTCTAGTTTTGTCCCATTCCAAACCAACAAAAATTTATTATTTTTAAGCTATTTAAAAAACAGGAACATTCTTTCCCTACCATAGCTCAATACTATTTAAAATTCTGACCAGTATGATTTAAAATCCAAAGAATATTTTTCCTAATATTCTGGTTAAGATAGCTGGGTACAACCCATGATTAGAGCCACAGAGCAACATAATACTTCACAGAACACCTCGCATGCACTGAATCTATCTTTTATCAGTCACCATAGATCATTTTAAGCACCTATCTTCTTGTGGTCAGCAAACTAGGGCCCGGGCCAGTCCACCTCACTGACTGTTTTTGTGCATAAGAGTTTATTGGCACACAGCCATGTCCCTTCATTTACATATTGTCTATGGCTATTCTGTGCCAGAGTGGCAGAACTGAGTAGCTGTAACAGAGACTGCATGGATTACAAAGATAAAAAAATTTACAATCTAGCTTGTCAAAGAAAAATGTTTGCTAATTCCTGGTCTAAAGAACAAAGACTTCACTTTTCAATGTGGCATACACAGTTGTTCAGTCTCCTTCTTACCTTTCCCATCTCAGCTTCATCTCAGTTCATCCAAACCTCCCGTCCTTGTCCCCCCGAGCTATGCTCTATGATACTAAGTGTTCACTTTCATGTTATCAGAGAAATCCTTCACTCCTAGACCTCTTAGAAACTCATTCATCATTTTAAATTCAGCTCGAATGTCATCTTCTCTATGTAATCTCCCCTGACCTTTGCAGGCTGAGATTGCCTCTTCCTCATTATTCCCAACAGCCTACTTTAAAGCTCTGTCACAGGCATGGTCACTATTTACAAGCAGCCCCCTCATTAGATCACCCATCACCTCCACATATGGCACCAAGTCTCATTCCTATCAGTAGCCCATCATTTAGGGATCCCCAAAGAATTGCTCAATAAATAAATCTATGCTAACTGACTCTCTGATTTGGTCACCTGGATTTCTACAGGACTAGTAATTAAAGTTCTTCAGCTGAACACTATTTCAAATTATAGTTGGCACATCTAAATGATTCCACATGTATCACTTAATATCTGACCTAAATGCACAAATTTAGGAAGAGTTTTCCAAAATCATTTACCAATGAATTATGATCAGCTTCTTCATAGGGATTTTTTACTCTCCAAGGTAAATGAGGACACCAATTTTCAACCTGAAAAACATAAAACAGTCACACTAAGTATTATGGTTTATCTTCAAATGGATTAATATATGTACAAAGTGCTGAGAACAGTTCCTGGCAAATGACAGCAATATTAATGTGGGATATTATTAGCCAAATTTTTATGACTTTAGCTAGCGATGCAGCTTCCCTCACAGGTGGGGAACAACAGGAGCACTTGGAGACACTTGACATCTGTCCTTCAGAGACTGATTCTATTATTGTTTAATCCTCACACTTCTATACTGGAGAGAGAAACTTAGGACAGAGAGTTTAAAGACTTGAACATGGTCGTAAGGGAATGAGAATGTGAAGGTGCTTCTGTGGCCATGTAGCAAATGGACAGGAGTGATCTGCCACCTCTGCTTGCCTGCCTGGACAGGAAACAGTGGCATCTGAGCTATAGAACTCAATGTTTTATCTGAGATCAGCAAAGCAATCAATACCTTAAAGCTAACTGGTCAAGGCTTTCTCTCACTTTCTGGCTGTTCACACTATCTCGAGAAATATGGTGGAAAAACCAACAGGAGGAAGAAATGAAGGGAGAAATGGAAGCTGGATTGTTCTGTCAATGCACAAGGGTTCAGACAGTTGTGAGGAGGGAGGAAAAAACCACCAGGAATAAAGCACCAAGATTTTGTAGAAATTACTCTGGGAACAGTTACACCAAAGAAAATTAGGAAAATTAATTTCTAGTAAAAGAAAAATGAGAAATGCATTGAGTAATACTGATGTTTGACTTCTTTGTCTAAAATAATTACAAAATTTCAAGATAATATTATTACCCATTTACTAAAATATAATAGCTTTATTAGAGATGGCTAATAATCAGGCATTGAAAATAATTCTTCTAGTACCAGGCGGATCTTTAAAACTTAAGATTGTGGTGCATCTTTGAAGATGGGAGGGCTATGCAGGGGACCACAGACTCTTGGCTCAGGAGAGTTGCGCAAGACAGTTTGCCCTCTAGATACGGGTGAGTTTTCAAAGAAACATGTCAATTTCACTAATCTAGAAATTATTCATAATGGATGGTAATTTTTCCTCTGACCAAATATAACTGGCCTGATTTGCATAAAGCCATCTGCTACTGCAAATGATCAGAAAGCAGCATGCCAAGGGTGGCAAGGCGGGTGGAGGGGGGCAGAATCCCAAGACACGGAAATACAATATTCTCTTTTCTTCTTATATAGTAAAATTTGATTTTAAGATATTTATGAATAGCTTTAGAGACTTAGAAACACTCCCCACAAGAAAAGCTGAAATTGCTTTTACTCATTAAAAAAAAAATACTAACTTGCTTTGGAGGCCTATGGTCTAAGTACTGGGGCCTTTCGGGAATATGACCATGGAAGGCGAAATGTGGAGTCCCACAAATGAGAAAATGAGGAAAAAAAAGGAAGCCTGAAAGAGGATGAGGCCTGTCACAGTTGCAACAGCATCACACACATCTGTACCTCATAATTTAGGCCAGACTGAATTATTTAGATCCAATTAAATTTTTGTAAATGGACTCAATAAAACATCCCTATAAAAGCATATTTAGAGCATGAACACTTCAAATGGATGACTTGTGAGCCCTTCAACTATACACACACACACACACACACACACACTGAGTAAACAAGGTACAGATTTAAAATAAACCTCACAACTAAATAAACAAGTTAATAAAGCAATCCATCAGGATAAAAAAAAATCTGTCCATTGAAGAACATGATTTGGAAAGATGAAACAAGACTATGAATAAAGAAAATCAATTAAAAGACACATTAGTGGGACCAGATATTGATAAAAGATAGTACATTCCCTTCTCATTTCTCTACACTGAAAAGAATCTTTCAAGATTCAGTCTGATGAAAATACAATTCAAAGTGATCTAAAATATGATTTCCCTACAGAATCCTCAAGACTATAAATTCCTTTTTTTGTTGTTTTTTAAGGCACCTGGGATTGAACTCTGCCTTGCGCTTGTGAGGCAGGAATGGCACCACTGAGTTAAATCCTTGGCCTCTGTAATTCCTCTTGAAGTTGATCAATTGATCATTTATCTTAGTTCTTCTTACTCTAAATCACTGGACACTACTTTGGAAGGTTCCAAGAGCATCTTACAAATATGGAAAATAGAGTTGGTCCAACTGAGCTTTTAGTGAGAAATTTTGCTATTACACATTCACTCAGAATGGTGGAAAAACTGATTGTGAACATCTTAACCCTGAACAAAGTGGTGGGTTTTTAGCGTTGTTTTTGTACACAGTGACAGGATAATTGGTTAATGAAATAATTAAATTATACGTAAAACCAATTACCCCATAGGGAGAGGGGGAAAAATAAAACAAAGCATTTCTTTCTGAAACCTCAGAGGGTTACCAGGATTGGAAGAAAGCCAGCACTGACAATAACTCCAAGTACTGAAAGAAACAGCCCTCCAATGAGCAACATTTTCCCAAATAAAAGTCACATTTGTAACATTCGGGGAAAATCTTGCTCATGGCCTACAGTACAACTGTTTTCTGGTTGATCTGTCCAGGGTCCTTTAACAATCTGACCCACCAGGAGAGCATCCTACCAATAGAGCCAGACCCTAGGAGGTGGCTCTGGCTGTTCAATACCATTCTGAACAGCTCCTCTCCTAACTCACAACTGCAGTGTCCTACATTTGTTTGTGGCTACTTGCCCCCATCCACTGCCTCAGCCACACTTTTCCAAATGTGGCACTTAATTGTGTGTTTGTCCTCATGCAAGGATGCCCTGGAACCATTGCCCTTAACTATCTACCCTCTCTCTGCCCAACTCTCATGGCCTGGGCAAGCCTCATCTCAGAGCCTCTGCCAAGGAAGCCACTGGACGTCTTCAACAGCAGCCTGTATTTCACCGCAGTAAGTTTCAAAATTGAAAACTGTCTAAATTCATGGTAACACACACAACAATCGATAGAGAAGCAGAACCATTACTCTAATAGCCTTCAATTTGAGGCAAAACTCTCTGGACATGAACTGATCTTTTTCGTACACTAGCCTCAGGCTACAGAATGAAGAGGCAGCAGAGACAGAGACGGGCCAGGCTGGCATTCTGGAGCATTAATGCATATTCCACTATAAATCACTTTCCCTGAGTGAGGAGATATAAAATAAAACAATTTGATTTTTGACATTTCTCCTCCCGGTGATTTAACCTCCTTTGAACTAACAAGGTTTTGTGGCTTAATCACGAGGACAGAGAATCAAAGCATTCTCCGAGTCCCTAAAACTTCTAACTAGGTCAGGCTTACTTTCAACGTCTATAGGATGAACAGTTCATTATATTCAGGTAAAAAAAGAACTGCAGGTAGATACACATAGAGCTAAAGCTGGAGTTTAAAGGAGGAATGAGGAAGTAATAAAAATGCGGCAAAACCTAAAAGAAGACTCAAAGTTTAGTATATATGGATTTAAGTATACTACAGTATAACTGCAGAAAAATTTTCCGTTGGAAGAAGTTTCAGTCTGCCTTATGGGCTCTACTTTCACTACCAATACGAAAGTTTTGTTCAAATGGATCCCTAATAAAGGATTCCATGTTCTGTTTCTTAGATGGTAAGTACAATCAAAACCAAATGGGAAAATACATAATACTCAGATTATCTCCAGATGACAGTGTTATGAATGCTATTAATTTTCTTGTTAATCTGCACAATTTCTATAAGAAACATTTATGAATAGAACTATTAAATGAGATATAATACATAAATATATAAGTCTTTACTTTAGGCTTAGAATGTATCAGGTTCCCTGAAAAATAAGAACACAAAAACTTGCATGTATCACTCACTTTCCCCCTGAGGAGCCCAGGATGTGATTACTAGCACCACATAAAAACTCAAGGCTTATAGACACACTGCAGGGGTCATCCTGCAGGGGCCGGGGCCAACTGAAATCTGTTGCTTCCCTGACCAAGATCGAGAAGGCCACCTTAAGATCAAGCTTAGGGAGGGACCAGAGAGCTGCTGAGCGCAGAAAGAGGACTGAGTCTGGGATCAGCCAAAATGGGCTGTATGCTCAACTCTGCAAATAACTAGACATGTAACCTTAAACTATGTGGCTTTCAAGATTTCTTGTCTACAAAATGAAGAATGTGGATCAGGTAATGTTCCTCATTCTGTTACCCTATAAAGTCAAAAGTGGAATTTTATGTCATCTTGTTAGCTAGTTGTCAAATGAATAAACTGTCTGTATGACATTTCATTTAGACACATGCAAAGACACACACTTGTTATACTTCTAAATGCAGGTATTCATTAATGAACATCCTAAAAATATTTAAAAGGGACTTCTCTCTACCATGCACCAAGGATCTGCCCACCCCATAATCCAGCCAGTCAAAAGGGAGTGGCTCAGCTACATAAACATCCCCTGTACAGGACAACTGTGCTGATTAGTATTTTGGCCCAGCAGCTTGTTGAGAGTTGTGTATGAGCCTGGGTACAGGAAACAAAGGGAACAAGTGTTTACTACCAAGTAGCAGGATCTGAGTTCCAGGATGAGCCCGCTACACACACAACCTCACTTGATCACTTGCTCATTCAATTGGTCTTTTGGGGGAGACTGATCATCATGCCAGATGAGGACAGAGACAGACTGGATATAGCTAAGGGCTGAAATGCTGTCTGCCTGTCCTGCTCCAGAGCTGATGAGCTTACTACTTAATAAGCACACAAACCAAACATTCGATTCTTAGAGTCTCATAAGCATAGGTGAGGCTTCTGTATTGTATATGACAGTATTGCCTAAATCTTCTGCATAAAATTATTTAAAAATGATTCTTTGGGGCCGGGAATTTAGCTCAGTGGTTCCGCTGCCTGCTTTGCAGGTGCAAGGTCCCAAGTTTAATCCCCATAACCCACCCCCCTAAAAAAAGATTCCTTGTATTCCTGAAAGGAATACAGTTCTGAAAGGTCAGTGAAAAACAATAAACTTTCTGAGTTCAACTCCTGCCCCTATATTATGTATTTT